TGCAAGTGGGCGAGTGCAACTGAAGAGTGCAAATGGGCGAGCGCAAGCGGGTGAATGCAAGTGCATGAGCGCAAATGAGTGAGGGCAGGTGGGCGAGTGCAACTGAATGAGCGCAAGTGAGTGAGTGCAAAAGGGCGAGCGCAAGTGGGTGACTGCAAGTGAATGAGCGCAAGTGAGTGAGTGCAAATGGGTGACTGCAAGTGGGCGAGTGCAACTGAATGAGCGCAAGTGAGTGAGTGCAAATGGGCGAGTGCAAGTGGGTAAATGCAAGTGGATGAGCGCAAGTGAGTGAGTGCAAATGGGCGAGCGCATGTGAATGAGCGCAAGTGAGTGAGCGCAAGTGAGTGAGCGCAAGTGGGCGAGGTGGGTGAGCGAGTAACGCTGTAATGCTGTAAGTTGAGTCGGTGTGAGACGAGTTGGCGCGAGGTGTGGGCTGAGTGGAGGCGGCGGAAGGCGGACAGCATGCATAGCAACGGTGGGCAACCAACACAAAAAGTTTGATGAACAAAGAAAGGAATGACAAAAAACAAAAAAAGCAACCTCTATTTGAAGGACGCCTTACTGTCTTTTCTCTTTCTGTCTGAGTCTTTTCTCTCTTAAGGCCCTAATCTTGCATCATGTGGACCCATGCGACGTGCGAAACAGAGATTACACCAGCATCAACCCCAAACAACGGCATTTGTTCAGGTGACAGCCATGGCTGACAAGCAGGACAGAGGGGGACAAAGCAGAATCATCTCAGCCCAGCATCCAGAAGGGCAAAGCAGAATCAGCATCTTGGCCCGTTATGCAAGATCTGAGAACCCCTCAGAGCAAAGCTCTTTGGGGAATTAGAATCTCCTAGTACGCGAGCGCCCGAACACTTTCCGAAACTACCCAGCAAACTACCAGTAGCACCTGCCAGCACATGCTATTTCGATAGGCACTAGCGATTGGCACCATTGAATTTCAACGAGTGTTTGACACAGGCTGCAATTTACTGTAAACTGGTTCATTGTCCTTTCTTTGGCTGCGATTACTCGCTCAGGCTTTTCAAGAGCATTTCAGAGTGGGAGAAGAGAACGAGAACAAAATAAGAAGCAAGAGTTGACAAACATCGAGAAAGAATAGAAGAAAAGAAGCAACAAAGAGGAAAGAAACAAAAAAAGGAGAGACACAGAGAGAGAGAGAGAGGGAGAGAGAGAGAGAGAGAGAGAAGAGAGAGAGAGATGTACACGTAGTCCAGGGCCCAGGGGACGAAATCATATGGGAAGGGGGAATCATCAGGGGGTTGTGGGTAATTCAGGCTAAATAGCTGCAGTAACAAAGAAAATATATGAAGTGATGGCAAAGGGTCGACAACATACATCTAGGTACAAGCCAGGGGAGTGGAAGGAAAGAACAACCTGGTGTAAAGTGAGGGCAAGTGTTTCAATCCGCGGCGCCGCAGATATGCAGGGTGAAACCGACAGGATCACCGAGACCAGGGGAAGCACGTACGGCCTCCAACTAAGGAGAGAGCTGTCAGTTCTGGTCCTCATTGGTAGGGCAGTAAGGAGGTGGTCACGTCAAAGACATGGATCCCGAATCCGGAACGGGACCTCCGCTCCTGCAACAGGAGGAGAGATGGGTAGGTCGGCACCAACTTGGGTCGAAGGTCCGGCAGCCTGAGATGATTCTGGGGGTCGGCTATGATCTGTGGCTGCATATAGCTCGGTAGCTGGTCAAGTTGTGAACCAGGCCGTCAATCATGTCATGTGGTTGATCAGGAGAGCCAAATGGAAAAGGAAATGGCGGGTCAAATTCCAATCCGTGCAAAAACATTAGGTAGTTCATCGCAATGGGGAAACTCCCTAGGCCAAGAGGAAAACTCAAAGTGGAAAGGATCAAAGAGAGGGCATTCTTTTGAAATCGAAGCAAGTCGAAGACATGTGTGAGACGTCCGAACTAGCGCGGGTTCAGACGTGAACGAGAACGAGAGCGTCTGAGGTGCCGCTGGGGCCGGAGCGGGGACGAGGCCCCGCAGGACGGAAGCCATGTAAAGGTCGTGGCCCCGTGTGGAGGAGTCATCGTCGAAGAGGAGGGAGGACGGGCATCTGGTCGGGGACAGGTTGGGGGATGCGATGGTCTCGAAAAGAAGTGAAACCACGTAGTTCAGCTTCCAATTGATCCGTGTCAAAATCTAAAGTACGGATCGGTGGTCATCAACTCATGTGTGTAGTGCAAAGCAGTGTGAGTGACCTGCGTCGCCTGTCGAATGGCAGAATCCAAACCACGAAGCTGTACTTGAAGATGAGGAGAGGTAACTCTCTCCAAGAAGGGAGGGGAGAGGATCGCCAA